CATACTGAAACGGCCTGGGTCGGATTTGAAAAAATCGGATTTGTCTCATTCAGACTGTCGTAAAAAAACCGGATACGAGTCAGATGGGTCAAAAAAATCGGATTTGGGTCGGAGTTGCCTGCAGTGTGAACGTAGCCTTAGATATATTGGGACGGCTGTGGGGGAGTGGTTAGGGGAGAAGCTCTGTAACTGGAGGGTTGCCGGTTCGATCAGTCGTTTCATTCATTTCTCTTTTGTATTTTATTGATCAAATCTCTTTGAAAACTAGACTTTCACCAGTGTCCTGAACTGTATAAGGAGTGGTTTATGAAGGGAACTTTACGTTCACTTTTTGGTTTTCCATGTCACAACTATGGTTGTATTTTTAAAGGGGTTTATTCCCAAGTAAGGGTGGAAGAACCACCAACACAGGAGGAGATTCTGCAAACCATCCAGCAGCTGAGGCAGAGAAAGCAGCACTTCACTAACACTGTGCTCAGTGGAGGTGGGGTACTGTTTACCAGTTATGTCATCAAGGAGGAAGGTGGGTCCGAGGACTTGATGTTCAGTTTGTCCATAACCTGGGGTGTACACCACTGAGTTCAAGGACGGCCACCGTGACAAGCACCAACAACCATGCAGCCACAAGGCTGCCGCCTCTACAACTGAGGCACGGAACATGATTTTTCTAGAAACTTAATTTTCTTTCTTTAAATTTTGCAAGTCAACAGTAGCACAAAAAGGATTGTGTTGTTAAACTGTTACTAACACGCTGCAGGTGAAGACTGTAAAGGTTCTGACACAAACCTCTGGACAGGAAGCGATGCGTGGCCAGCAGCAGCTGCGGCGACGTGCGGATCTTCGGTTCTCCCTCAGGAGGCTTGAAAAGGGAAAACTCTTCGTGGCTGCTGCGAGGCTCCAGAGGGATCTCCAGAGGAGCGGGGGGACGCTTCACCTTCCTGTCCACTGCAGGGGGAGACCAGACGCAGGTTTGAACAAAGTCGTGAGGAGCGACAGCAGCTGACGTGCTCTCAGACACTCACGGTAGCCGACAGACTCATCCAGGATCTCCGACTTGATGATCTCCTCGATGACGTCCTCTAAGGTGACCAGTCCCAGCACCTCGTAGAAAGGATCCCCCTCCCCCTCGTTGTTCACCTTCTGGACGATGGCCATGTGAGAATTACCTGAGCCAGCATCCAACAGACTTCATTTTAGACAGATTGTTCATCAACTCCTCGTGTAACTGAGTCTAAACAGTAAAGCATACAACTACAAGAATAAACAGTTGATAGAGTTCACAGTATGAGTTATACTTGAGTCTTGAGTTTCATGAGTCTTGAAAGAGAAACAGAACAAGTCCCCTCTTGCACGAATAAACCCCTGTGATTCTGGAAAGCTGCCAATACTCACAGACGTCTGTTATGAAAGTATGAGCACAAACAGAAGGTGCAGATATTTGAGACTTTTTAACAATGACTATAAAGATTTAAGAAAAAAAGTCATATGACTTTTGTCCCATTTTAAAAGGGATCCGTGATTAGTTGTAACATTGACTTTAATAAACATATATTTTAACTGTAAAATAAAGACTGTAAAAATACTGTAGGCTGTTTAGTTTTAATCATTTTTAAACTAAAAGTTAAAAAATATATTACATGGACGTACATTCAAAGCATTCTGGGTAAATGATGACGTGGATAGGTCCTCGGTGTGAGCGAGCTATATCCACCCTGAAGGTTAATCTTGGACAATATCTGATGATCGACTCTTTTAAATGAAACCAGAGAGCGTTGACAGAGAGGAGAAGGTAGAAATGACTCAGCCTGGAACTGAAAATATGGATGGAGGCAACCCATTCTCACTCCCAACTCGTCACATATT